ATTATAACCGACCAAATTAAGACCTTGGCCAGGGCGATTGAATAAAAGAAGAAAAGAGTTTCTTAGGTCATTCAATGGTCGATTATTTTTGACATAAATACATAGTCGGCCACCTATTAGGATTTGACAGCTGAACCATATCCTAGGGTGACCCAGAACTATAAGGACAGAAGGAATTAATACATTATTCTTCTACAGGTTCTTGAGAATAAATTGTATACTTCATGCTATCCGGTCGTTAAGGAGTGTTGTTAGACGCCACCCTTGATTAGTATATTGATNTATGTTTTTTAAATATTTACCATAAAACATGTGATTTGTATTTTCCAATGGAAATTATGTGTATATATATATGTGTGAGTCCTAATTAAGAATTAGGGTGATATAGATCTTATACATGTTGTAAAAACCAAGAGAGTTATTCTTGTTTTGAGAAAGTAATAGTGCAATACAAAGAAAATTATTTCTTGTTCTTCCACCTTTGAGTTGAGATTTTTGAGAAACATTTCAACACAATATTTTCATTCAATTTGTTCGCGGAATTTCATTGATCAAAGAGTTGATAGCAATGATCAGTTTCGGTGTGGATACGCATAGAGTTTTCGCACTATCGAAGAAATTTAAAACGAGACTCTTTTCACCAGGTACGTCTTAGATCCGATCTTTGACATATAAATAAATTTTAAACACGAAAAGTTCTGCCTAAGATTGTTATTATCTTCCGCTGCGTGTTATGAGCACCTCTATGCAATCCAACATAACTCAACTATGTCTATGTATCAAAGAAAATGCTGACCGTGATACCCAAAAACGCAAGTATGGTGCCATATGGATAAAAGTATCGGCATGTAACTATAAGCATAGCTACATCAGCAAATGATCTTCTATAAAAGAAATTATAATTCATTTTCTGACGAATTTTCTTTTTAAATAAACAACTCATGATCTGGTATATGGTATAAAGGTGTTAAGCAACAACAAATTCAAGAGTGCAACACATAGAGTGGTGAGATCGAAGGGGAAAAGCCGTTACTCGTATGCATTCTTCTATAACTTGCACGGAGACAAGTGGGTTGAGCCATTACCACAGTTTACAGAGGAAATTGGAGAATCGCCCAAGTACAGAGGATTCCTCTTCAAAGAATATGCGCAGCTAAGAGTCAAAAACAGGACTCATCCACCAACTAGACCTGAAGATCTCATCCATATAACCCACTATTCAATTTCTAATTAGAGAACTCTATATGTGATCAAAGGTTTTCCTCTATGTCGAAGGAAACATGGCAATAGTATCTATTACTTCACTCAGAATTAATGTGGAGACAATTTATTTGAGTGTTATCTCTTCAATCAGCTATCCCATTTCACTTGTTTCCTGCAGAACCTCTTCGTTCATTTTCATAGATTACTGGAACAATATCATACAAGTTATTATTACACTAATTCTGATTTTCCGGGATCGAATTTTAGCATTTATCATCATTTTCTATTTTCTGTGATATATAAGCTTAGTTGAATTATTTTTTCTGTTGCAAAAATTAGTTTTATGACGTTGGTGCAGTAAGCTAAAAGTTAGATGAATATTGATGAAATTAACCCTTTGCGAAGATTTGCCAACTGTGGAGGGTATTCTAAACTATTGGTCTTCCTGCTAACTTCCGTAAATATTACAACAGCTTATTTGATTATCTCAACAGTTCTTCAGATTCAATGCTTTTTTTCCCTCTTCCAGCTCTCTTTTACAAGCTGTGTCTTGATCGTTGTTCCATTTAATTTAAAACTACTGAAATTGTATATACTGCAACCTTGTTCCTTTCTTTCTTTTTCTTTTTTCGAATAATGTCAAGTACTCCTTATATTGTTAACTAATATATTCGTTTGTAAGAAAAACGTTAGCACGTTATTAAAACTTTATTAACTAAAGCATATGATACAGACTTGAATATGAAACAAAGTTGCAGCATCTTCTTTTATTTATGACAGAGCTGTCCAGAAGCTGAATATTTATGTGGGGCAGAAATGGTTAAGGGGTATTTGATTTTAAATCCCGTGTAACCATTTTATTTAGTGAATGATTGCATTAATCTATTAATGTTATGTCTAGAATACAAATCTATTCCTATCACCCTTGTAGGGGATGAAAAGCTAAACAGTTAAAATAAACATAATGAAATATTGACCCTCAAGTTGGCTAAAACGTCATGGTTTGTTTTGATATTCCAATGATTGATGTTTCTTCATTAATGTCAAGAAAGGAAGATAAAGATGGGAAAAGGAAGGTTATTGAGCAAATAGAGGAAGCGTGTTTCGTCATGGCTTCTTCCAGATTTAGAATCATGGAATTCCTTTGGAGTTGCTGAACAGAGCCATGGATTTGTATAAGACTTTCTTTGGTTGTTCAGACGAAGAGAAACTCTTGGTCTTTCCCAAGCCTGGAGAAACTGTACTTGTTGGTTATTTGAAAATCCCACTACATTCAGCAGAGAATCTTCAAATGTAGTTACTCCAGCTCATTTTCCTCTGACACTCATTTTTTTCAAATTTTAGTATGTATAGTCGGTCCTCGAACAACGGATACAATATTATTTGGGTTTTACTCAGACTTTAAAGCTTTATATTTCATTTTAGCTCGAATTCAAGTCCTGAACATTTAAAGCACGTAATAAGTATAAAATCTTCACATTTAAGCTCAAACATGATCGAAATGCAGTCCACAATAGGTGAAAGAAAGACCAAAATTCATGTTTCTAGTCTACCATTACCTTATTAATTTCAAAAAAGAAATAAGCCGTTAAAACACTATTCCTTCTCCTTCTTCATCATGATTTTTTTCCATTGTCTTCCCAACTCCTTATATTCGCAAATTTTAAGAAATCTCAAACAAATATAAAGATTTTTTTTAAAAATAAACGTAATTAAGGTCTGTAATAAAATTAATTAAAACATCCTTTTTATTTTCAGATAATATTAATTGCAAAGTATGTGTGTGCATGTCCTTTTTGTAGTTTGACGCTCCAATCCTTGCACTATTTTTTACACCAAAAAAGATTATTCCGTTTATATTCTTCTCTCTCTTCTATATTATATTATTTTCTTTTATTTAAATTTATTTTTTTATTTCATAAAACAAATTCTTTCTTTTTTCTCTTTTACATATTCATCCCATATAGTAATTCATATTTTTTTCTTATATAATCATTTAATATAAAATTATTTTATACCATAAATTTTTAAATAATATAAATCTTAAGCAAATATTTTACACTATACTTATTAATGGATAATTCAAATAAAAATAAAATCATTGATAAGATATAATTAAATAAATATTACATTATGGTAAAATTTAGTTTAATTTTTACATAAATATTCAACTTACAGGATTAATATGTTGCTCCCATAAATTCTCTATTAATGCATTAAGAAGTGCAAAATGAGTATCTTTGTCCTTAATTTTTTTTGTGTCGAGTTAAAAATTATTCAAATTGGTAATTTTCATCTATTACTATTTCTGTTGTTGGAGTCCAATCAGAAAACAATCTGGTTGTTGAGTTGTTGGCAAAGTCAAGTGCAGAGAGGCAACGAGATATGGAGATAAAAGATAGAGCTTTGAAACTAAAAGAATTTAAAGAAAAAAATAAAATTTTATTGTTGAATTTAGATTCTATTGATGATCCAAATATTCGTAAATTTATTCGACAATAACAAAAACGATTAATGGATACAAAAAGTCAACAGTTTCAACAGCCACAACCACAATAATCCTTTGCTCAATACACTCAATATTTTAATGATATTGGTGGACCTAGAAGCGACCTACCAGAGTACTAAATTATTGTTGTAATTTTCTCATCCAATTATGTTATTTAATATATTTTTAATTTTAATCTAGGCCAGTTGCTACTATATTAAATATTTAATTTTATGTTATTTAATGAATATCGTGTTATTTATTAATTAACAACATATTATATTTCAGATTTACGCTTTTCATTTTTTTGATAGTTATATATTTTTATACAATTATAACTTATAATAAAATTAACTTATAATTTTATATAAAAATAAAATATACGAAAATTATTTTATAAAAATTATATGCCAAAAAAATAAAATAAAATTAATAGTATAAAGATATTACATAAAAAGTATAAGTAATTATAAAATTTATAATATGTTAAATTAAAAGTGTTATATAATAAAAGATAATAATAAAATATTAATAAATAATATTAATGGTGTTGATAAATAGTGTTACACCAAATTTGGTGTAACACTATTCACATACCAAAATGATGTAAGAAATGGTGTTAGGTTGGAGCACCAAAATACCAAATCTTACACCAAAATAGCGTTTGGCGTCAAAATTTGTTGTGTCATTTATGACTTGTGTGCAAAATTTGAGGTGAATACTCAAAACTTATGACCTCAAATTACGTTATGTACGTTTATTTTATTTTTTTCTTGTTTGTGATGATAGCCGAATCAAAATTTTCACTTTGAGTTCTGGACCTCAATATTCGATAGTTCACCGCTTTATTTTTTGTGCTCTTTTTCCTAAATTGTTTTTTGAAATTCACTTTTTTTGTCTTAAATGATTTATTTGTTATTTAAAAAGTAAATTTTATTGTTGGTGTAAATATTTTATAAAATAAATTTAAGGGCCTCCGAAAATGATTTCGCCTTAGGTCTCGAGATCTGTTGAGCCGCCCTTGGTCTTAGTAACACTTTTTTGGAAAGAATGAACATGCATATAAGCAGAAGTGGAGTCAGGATTTAAACCGTATGAGTTCTGAATTTTGGAATCACGATTTTAAATATTAATGACTGAGTTCTAAATTTAATATTTATACATATTTCACGAATTCAAAATATCAAATATTGGGCAAAGAGTATTGTGTTCGCCGAACCTGTTGGTCTTGTGCCACCGCCCCTGCATGGAAGTTGCAATTTTTAGCGGGGTGCACATTGTTACCGCCCCATTCACCAATACAGCTCCAAGTTCTATCCACTGATACTTTGGGTGGCTTTGGCCTCTTCGTATTTTTGAAACAAAATTCAAGAGCCCAGACGAAATAATTATCATTTCAAAGTAAACAATAGATAACCCATAATATCGTATAATGTGTCGTTAATGGCATTCTTGTAAAACGATAATTGGATACATTAAATTATTTGTTCAAGAAGTTCGTTGTCATTATATCACAGCGGAGATCGATAACATTCTATTACTGAAAATATAACGAAGTTTCTAGCGCTTGTAATGACCTGATCGATCGTTTTAAGTATTACAATCTCGTTTTTTCATTTACTGCTTAATTTGTGCTTTACAATTGTTATGTGACTTGCCGGGGTAATTGGTTCGGGTCCGGATAGGTTTTGAAATGAATTGGAACACTTAGTTCCAAGGTTTAAAGTTTAAGTTAAAATAGTTAGTCGGTTATTGACTTATGTATAAACGGCCCCTGAAATACAGTTTTGATGATTCCAATAACTCCGTATGGTGATTTTGGACTTAGGAGCGTGTCCGAAAAATTATTTGGAAGTCCGTAGTTAAATTAGACTTGAATTGGCTAAAATAGAAATTTAAGTTTGGAAGTTTGACCGGAGAGTTGACTTTTTTGATATCTGGGTCGAAATCCAATTCTGGAAATTGGAATAGATCTATTATGTCATTTATGACTTGTGTGCAAAATTTGAGGTCAATCTAACTTGATTTGATAGATTTCGGCATGGAATGTAGAAATTAAAAATTCTTAGTTTCGTTAAGCTTGAATTGGGGTGTGATTTATGGTTTTAGTGTTGTTTGATGTGATTTAAGGATTCGATTAAGTTCGTATGATGTTTTAGGATTTGTTGGTATATTTGGTTGAGGTCCCAAGGGTCTCAGGTGAGTTTCGAATGGTTAACGGATCAAATTTGGACTTAGAAGAAATATGAAAATTTCTGTCTTCTGGTGTGATCGCACCTACGAGGGATTAGCCGCAGGTGCGATGCCGCAGATGCAGCTCGTTTTACGTAGAAGCGGAGCTGGGCTGGCCTAGGCAGGGCGCAGGTGCGAGGGATTGACCACATTTGCGAGCCCGCAGGTGCGAGCGAGGCTCCGCAGATGCAGAGCTGAGGGAGAGGCTTGTTTCCGTAAAAATAGATGGAAGGCCGTAGAAGCGGCTCCGCAGGTGCGGGACAAGGAGCACAGATGCGGGCCCGAAAAAATTAAGTGGCTTCCACAGAAGCAGTTCTGTAGGTGCGGAAAGCCTGGATAGAATGTTAAAAATAAGGGTTTGCGATTTTGGCTTCATTTCTAACATTTCCAACATGGGTTGAGGCGATTTTTGAGCGAGGAATCACGGGAAATCTTGAGATAAGTCACTTGTGATTATTTTTAATCAATAATATTGGATTATCATTGAGTATTTCAACTAGATTACATGTTTTTGAGGCGAAATTAGAGGATTTGGGCCTAGGGATTTTAAAAT